CCCAATAAAAACAAAAAATTGTACAATTATTTGAGGAAACAATACTTCTTACTGCAATATTTTAAAATCTAATTAACATTTGTACAATTATATCTCTTTATATATGTAGATTTGATTCGTCAGGAAATAAAGAAATCACTCTTCAAAAATCTAAAGTACTATGTAAACAATATTTACATGATTATGTCACTTATTAAATAATTACAAATTTTAACGTAATAGACATTATTTTGTAAGTTAGTAAAAATTAGCAATAATAAGTTTCAACAGCATAATACAAGGGTCGTTTGGTATGTTTGTACTAATTATATTCGTATTAATTATGAAAAGATTATTTTTTATGCATTGTTTGATTTGATATATTAAAAATAACATATATTTTATAATTTTTTCAAATATATTTTTTACAAAAATATTATCCCGTAAATATGATGAAAAAAATGTTAAAGAAATTTTGAGGGCAATTAAATCCTCAACATATTAAAGCATACGTTAAAATCAATTACATTATTAATACTCCATTATTTCCATATGTTCATAATACATATTACGTGAAGAAGGATTTCAAACAAAATACTATTAACATATAAAGTTAATGCAAACGTTATTTTTTCTAATATACTTTACCATACGACTCTAATGGTAGAAGGAAAGTAAATTGATGACTAACAAGGAGAAATAAAATAATTTCCATATAAATATTCTCGTAATATTCTGCGTATTCCTCTAATTACGGACTATATAAACCCCCTCCTTCGCTTCCAACTCAGCCATCACAAGTTTTCCGTTTTTTCTCCCACTCTTCACTGCACAAAATCATCAATGGCGATTCGCCGGATTTTAGCGAAACGCTTATCTAGTACCCTAAAATTAGATCCGCTTCCACCTCTTACGGTTCTAGAACGTTCTCACATTCCGGCGACACCGCCGGATTCCGTCAACGGTGATTTCTTCCGACGGTTTCTCCAGAGGAGAGAAATCAATCATGTGGCGAGACTGCCGGAGTTTTTATCTATTCCGGTTGGAGAAAAATTGAGAGAGAAATTGAGATCTATGAATGTTACCGGAGAAAGGATTAGATTCGAACGCCTAGCTCCACCGGCTCCATCTACGGCAACGGCGTTGCTGCCGGCGGAGACGATGGGGAAGATAACCGTGAATGATGCTAAGAAGATATTGAAAATTTCGCAGTTGGAGAAAGTGAAATCGAGACTGAGAGAGATACCGATGAACTCAATTTCGTACTCCGAATTCGTTGAGATTTGTGATGAATTTTGTTGTAACAGAGAACAGAGCTTGGATTTCGCAAAAATGTTGGACGAATCCGGTAGCGTCATCGTTTTGGGTGACGTCGTTTTTCTCCGTCCATATCAGGTATAAATATTATTTTCTTCGTCTCAATTTATGTGATACGTCAAACAATTTAAGTTTTACAATATTTATATATATATTCATTATTAATCTTCTTGATGCAATTTCAGGTGGCAAAATCAATGAACAAAATAATATCAGAATCCATAGCATCACCAAACGACCCAAGAAGAAGAGAACTTGAACAAATGGAAAAACAAAAGGCCTTGATTGATCAAAAAGCCCAATCACTTGTAAGAGGTGAACTTTACTTTGGGCTGGGCTTTTTAGTTCTCCAAACATTGGGCTTTATGAGGTTAACATTTTGGGAATTGACTTGGGATGTGATGGAGCCCATTTGCTTTTTTGTGACTTCAATTCACGTTGTTCTTGCATATGGATTCTTCTTAAGAACATCAACAGAGCCCACTTTTGAAGGGTATTTCCAAAGACGATTCAAAGTTAAACAAAAGAACCTCATGAAGTCATACGATTTCGATCTCGAAAAGTATAATAAACTACGAGAAGTATTTTATCCAACTTATAATAACCAAACATATTATGGATTTTCTTAGAATTATTCGATCATGCAACACGTCTAGTTTTTGTTGTACCATGCATGGTTAATATGTGTGTATATATATAGTCTATTTTTACGCGAAAATCGAGAGTAGGTAGAATATGATGATGACGATGATGAAATTTCGCAACTTTGGATCATGGATGTAAGATTTTATGTATCCTCAAGTATGGAATGTGAAATTTCTAGAATTTAGATATCAAATTTGCACCACAACGTGCATTTGCATATCGTGTTTGAAATTTGTTTGCGGATGAATAGATCCTCTACTTTCCGTTGTTTCTTATTTTTTCTAAATTAGATAAGATAAAGGAAGTATTGATCAAGGCAGGTACACTTAAATATATTTATTTTTGTTATGAGATACAATAAAATAGAGATAGGCGAGCGAGTATTCAAAGTCCAAAATCTAAGCTGGAAATGTCGGATACATGTATTCAAAGTCCAAAATCTAGTAATATTCATAATCTTGACATTATTTTCTTGATGTATGTGTCAGGAAAAAAAACGAACAAAGAAAGTATTATATAACTACTCATTTCAAAAAGTCAAACTATTTTTATTTTTACCCTAGACATTAATTATTTATTTTTCAAATTATTCACCAAAAATAAAAAATATACATCAATTAATATGAATATTTTATTACACGTCATCTGTCGATTCCTCTAGCTTTCAAATTCAAAATCACTTCTCTTCGGCCTATTTTATAATCGAATAGAAAGTCAATTCGTTTCCATCTTAAGTAGTTTTTGTTTGTTTTTTGTGGTTAAAATCAGGGCGGAACCATCTTGTAGTCACTGGTTTATTTGAATCTTCCTTGACGGAAAATTATATTATTTATGTACAATTAAAATATTTTTTTGAATATATTTAATAGATATACAATTAAAATAATTTTTAAAATATATTTAATAGATATATTGAATACCTTTTGGTTAGCTTATGTATCCACTTTTTTAGATTTTAAACATCTTTAGTGAAAATTCTAGCTCCGCATCAGAATCATCAAACTTTGAAAATTACTTAAGGCAAGTATCTAACCACTATAAATAGCTCTAATCCGAGTCCAAATCAAATCGCTAATTGTAATTAAATTTCTCATTGATTGCGGAATTGTTCAACAACCAGGCCCGGTTCTATTCCGATGCGTGGCCAACTTATCCTGGCGAATGGTTTTCGATGCTGGCTCAACACACCACCCGCCATTCTCTAGCTTGGGATGTTGGCACCGGCAACGGCCAAGCTGCCATCGGCGTAATCTCTTTATACTCCATTCGTTCATTTTTATTTATCACATTTGAATTTGAGACACCTATTAAAAAAATAATGATTCACACGAGTTTTTTATCACACTACCTTTATTAATTAATGTTTAGAGTTACAATTTGAAAAATTATTTGACATTAAGACATAATGCTTGTGAATATAGGAATTGAGCGAGAGATTAATAAAGAGTAAATTTTAGGCTTAGCAAACATAAAAATCATATTTGTATGTTATAACTATAGTTTGTATAATTTATGTTTGCTATAGAACATCAGATTTGTATAAATCGCTGACAATCTCTCATTTGTATAAATCGATGGCAGTCTCTCATTTGTATAAATCGTTGGCAGCCTCTCTTTTGTATAAATCGTTGACAGCCTCTCGTTTGTATAAATCTCTGGTAGTCTCTCAATTCAATTGTATATATGTAACTACTGTGTATATGTATCAATGATTGTGTTTGTATATCTGCATAAAATTTGAATTTGTATACAATTGAATCGAAATAAACATTTGTTTATCAAATCTCTCTCTCTCACTTTATACAACACAAATTATACATTGTAATTTGTATAATTTGTATTTGTATAAAGCGAGAAAGAGAGAAACGCAAAAGAGAACTGATAGGGAAAGATTTGTATTTGTATAATTATAAGTGTATAGGACGAATATATATATATTTGTATTTGTACATACAATTTTTTCTTTCGCTTTATACAAACACAAACGCAATTTATACATTTGTGTTTGTATAAAGTGAGAGAGACGAGGGAGAGTGGCGAGCGAGATTCGGTGGGGAGAGAGACGAATGACAACTGTTTGCTATGGGTTTCAATTATATGAAACTGTGGTTATGGCATTTAATTTGAATTAATAGTTTGCTATTTTATACAATTTTCTCAATCATGAGTTATTCAACAATTTGGGCTTAAATCTTGTACGTATGTATTATGCAACTCACTTAATGTTTTAAAATAATTTATTCAAAATTCAATAAGCAGAAATCGATTCATGAAGCTATGGGTTCAATCTTTAAGACTTAAAGTTCTTAGCATTGAATATATTACATTTCTGAAATTACGTGTTCAGATCAAACCTATCATTTGTTGCAATTCTATAAAATTTTACATATAATTAGTATTGTGTCAAATGAATTCGACAACACTACTCTATATTCACCTGTCAGTAAACTGTCTTTTCTAAAATATAAAAGCAATAAAGTTGAAATTCTAAATCCAGCTTGGTATTTCCTATTCGGAGTGTTATAGAATTTTTTTCATTGTATTCTTTTAGGAAATGTTATTATTTTAATGACAGGTAGTTGAGCATTACAAAAAAGTAATAGCAACCGATGTAAGCAAAGATCAATTAAGTCATGCACAAAAACACCCAAGAATTCAGTATATTCACACACCACTCTCCATGTCTGATGAAGAACTTGTGTCAATTGTTGGTGGTGAACATTCTGTAGATTTGATCATTGTTGCTGCTACAGTTCACTGGTTCGATCTCCCAAGGTTCGACTTATTTATTGAAATTATATTTGAAATTTAAAATTACTAGACATAAAGTATTAAATCGATACGACCAACATTTTTAATTAAATGCCATTAGTATTGCTACAACAAGTATCAATACGTTTTTTTTTTTAGCTTGAACAAATATTTATTTAGCCATAATATTTTCTTTTAGATAATTTATTGTGGCCGAAAGGTTACTTATATTAAAATAAGTTTCAACTTTTAGCAAAAAGGACATGGTTGTATCATTTGACTATTGAGACAATTAAAAAAAAAAAAAGACTATTGACACAATTTTCTATAACTTGAAGCAAAATAATAGGAGTATTAATTAGCTACAATATTTTTGGTTCAAATAGTTTATTGTGGCCTAAAAATTATTATTGCTACAATAACTTTTATCATGTGGCAAAAACTCTTAAAGTTATAGATGTTTATACAATTGTTGTCACGATTGTTAGTAACTGTAGCAAAAATAAGACATTATCTTTGTCAATTTAATTTTCGTGGCTAAGAAATTTTACGAAACCAGGTTCTACTCGATTGTAAATCGTGTGCTAAGGAGACCAGGAGGCATAATAGCAGTTTGGGCCTATGAATTAATGAATGTAAGCCCTGAATTTGATCCAAAATTTAAGAGTTTTCTTGATTCAACACTTCCTTATTGGCATCCAAATATTAAATTTGTGTTTAATGGGTACAAAACGCTGCCGTTTCCTTTTGAAAGTGTGGGATTAGGTTTAGAAAATGAACCAATTGAAGTTGAAATACAAAAAGATATTTCATTTGATGGGTTTTTGGGATTGCTCAAATCTTTATCAGCAATTAACACTGCTAATGAAAAAGGAGTTGATTTGTTACCACAAAAATTGGTTGAAGAATTTGAGGTAGAATGGGGAGGGCCTAAATTGGTTAGACGTGTTATCTTTAAGGCGTTTATGCTTGTTGGTAAGGTGAAGAATACAAAAATCTAAGTGAATTTGGTTTGATCGAAGATTTTAAGTCAGCGAGTGCAGAATAATATAGTATTGTATTAATTTCTTATTGCATGATTAAATGCAGCATAGTATGAATATGTATGTATTTAAGAATAATATTGTATTGTATTAATTTCTTATTGCATGATTAAATGCAACATAGTATGAATATGTAGGTATTTAACAAGTTTTGAAAGATAAATATATGCCAAGGGGCGTATTCTATTGATTGCCTCTAAGGTAAGTGAATAAACAAACTTATTCAGAATTTGAACATTGTGAGTTTAATTTTGAAATTCTATCACAGTTCGTTTAATTTGATTTAGTAAATATTTTATCTTAAATTTGAATAAACCATAACGCGATTATTCATCTTTGGGCTTATTGATGAATAATGGAGCAATTTTCTAGCCCAGCCCATTATTATCGTCCTTGTGGGCTTTAAGTCCATTCGAAGTGGGCTCATTGTTCTTTTACGATAGCCCCCATTTGTAATCCAAAGTGCCCCCATGTACCTTTTTTTTCGGGTGTATAGTCGTTTGTCAAAATAATAATCTACTTCTTATATATATATTTGACTAGCAATTGTGATTATTTTAGCGGCAATTATGCTAAAAGCCCTATCCCTTCTAGTACTAATTTTTTGTATGTCGATGTGCCTCTAAAGAATAAAAATAATTTTAATATTAAAAAAATGAAGAAACTCTTATTGACGATGTAAACTCAGTTGCGGCGCAAGGATTTTCATTAAGAGGTTTCAAAATACATAAAAATAAAACGTGAAGAAATCCAAAGGAATTCAACATCTAATATATATATACATATAACCAAATTTACTCATGTATAAATAACGCGATTTTTCTTTTATGGAGGTTTCGATAAACCCTTTTCACTCTACCTGATTCTGCCCCTATGTAAACCCTGCACCATTGACGTATACAATAAAATTGTATTTATTAAGTTATATATCTATTGACTTGGTAGTTGGTACAAACACTAAGTACGAATAAACTTTTACCCTTCCATTAGTATATAATTATAGAATTAATACATATAACTGACACATAATAAAAGATGTGATAATGAATTGATAGATATTTCAAATATTTATATGACAATAATAACACACACATTTGTACATGAAAAAGGGTCCCAAAATAAAAAGTGGCAAGAAATTTTTGGTACTAACTGCATATGCATTTGCCACCAGCTTCATGTATATTCAACAAACTGATGACCCACTAAGTATACAATAATATAAATAATTTATAATATTTGGACCCTCCATATTTATAATTTCTTATTTTGAGAAGGGCCACCACATCATCCATTTTTTTGATTTGGAGAATCTGAAAAAAGATAAAGATTAGATATTTGATATTCAATATATGAGCTAAGAATAATTGAAAACTTCCTATGATACTTGTACAATAATAACAACATGTTGGTATAATCCACGAGTGTGGTATGAAAAACATAGAATATACACAAATTTTATTTCTATCTTGGGAGTCAATATTACTTATACAATGATACTTAATATAAATGACAAGTATTAGTGTGAAACTTATCACAATCTAATTCATGTGCACTTTTGACATAACAAACATTTGAAATTAATCTTTCGAGAGATATCGTCATTAAGGCCCAAAAACATGTATTACATGATGCCTTATAAAATATTTTATCTATTTTAAATAGCTTGTCAGCTTAAAAACCTAATTGTCGTTCTCTTTAACTTGCCTTTATCGACCTCTTTAGTCACTAGCGTCATAGTTTTTTCACTAATAAAGTACTTAATCTTCTTTTAAGATTTATTAAATTAGTCTTTACTAATATAGAAAATATTTACCAATATATTGAATAATTTTTTTAAAAAAAAAACTTTCGTACCATAGTCCACCTAACAGGATAAAGACGAACTTAAAGCTTTAAGTTTATGAATTTCACAACAATCTTAAGTTAATATAAAGTTATAAACAATAACTAAGTTCACTTCAACTATTACTTCATTTGTCTTAATTTATGTGACACTTTTCATTTTCCGAGAGTCAAACAGTTTAAGTTTGACCGAAATTGCGCATGATATCTTCAATTTTTTTGAAATAAAATTTATATATTTGTAAATTACGTAAAAAGTACTATAAGTCACAATAATTGATAATTCAAAATGTTTAAAAGATCTATGAAAACTTACGGTCAGAGATAGCCTTGTTTGAATCTCTAAATCCGAAAAATGTCACATAAAATGAAACGAAGAGAGTAATAAATATTTATAGATCTAGTTTAAACAAAAACTATAAAAATCCGCGTAAAGCAATAGATTGTGCTCTAGATCTGCTATTAACCCATATCGAGTAGCCAGTGAAAAAATTAAACTCATTATTTTCTATTAGATTATATATATACATAGTTGCAAACTTTTAATCTTATATATTAGCAACAATATTATTTCTTAAATAAATAAAAATGGTTAATAATAATTACATTAAACCAATGGAAGGTGGACCAAAAAGTGTCTTGTGTTTATCCAACCACCGATTTGCAAGTTGCAATTGGTAAAGTGGTAACGTAACACTTACTTAACATGTGCAAAGTCCCTACTCCCACAATTAGGGTGGAGCATTACGAGTTCGATAAAATTAAATAATTTTAATTTAAGTATTTTTATTTATGTAAAAAAATATTTTATATACATATATAAGGTGTTTATTTAAAACTTGATAAATAAAAAAATTATGATATATATTTATAAATTTAAAATTCTGACTCCATTTCTATCCGCGAGTGATATTGTTGGTGAATGGTGATGCATCAAATAGTACTCCAATATGTATATAGTCCATGTTGATACTGGATAAGGAAATAAAAAAACATAAATACAAGAAAACGTGATGAGAGTGATAATTACTAATTAAACATTGTTCTAAACACATTAACATTTGCTTAATTGATATGTAGATTAGTACTAGCATGTTGGATTAAATTTGTAAGATCAAATTATTTTAAAAAATGTTTTTTGAGAAAAAGATTTTTAGACTGTAGTAGCTTGTGTCTGTTCAATCTATTTAAAAATCAGCGTAGAAATTTATCCTTCATCAAAGTTTCAAAAGTATTTATGGAAAATAACTACTTTTTCAACTTATGTTACTATTAAAAAAATATTTATTTTTTCACTAAAAGCTTGAACAAAACCTCAGTTATCTATAATAATTATTAAATGAAAAAATATTTTTGACTTTTTCAAAATTGAAGGGGGATACAATATGAAGAATCGAACCCCGCCAATAAGGTGAGAATTTAGATAGCCAACCAACAAGGGCATAATGCTCATATTTGGCTGCTAAGTAATTTTGTGAAAATGATTTCATGGCCACTTACCTATTAATTAGGAGAAAATTACTTTATTCAAATTTTTTTATGTGTAATAAAGATCTCTTAGATGTGAACCACAAATTTCTAAAGAATTACAAAATCAGACTATTGGATAATACTCCTTGCGTCCAACGATAGTTGTCTATTATACTATTTTGAGATATTCAATAATATTTGTCCACTTTATAAAATTAATGGTTAATTTTACACGTAATTCTTAATTTATCCTTATCATTAATTATACTCATTTTCCTATTACATTTTTCAACACATTGTATTTATTATATTCAAAGGGTGATATAATAAAATTACCCTTCTATTTATAGTTTTTTAAGAAGTGTGCAAACTGCAAAATCAATAGTGGATAAATATTGTTGGACAGAGTGGAGTACATTCTTTTTTAGTTTGATTATACAATATAATAACAATAACATTTGTATATTGAGTGTAGTCTTAAAAAAATAAAGTGAAATCTGAAAAGGATAAAATATATGCAAATCTTACTATTATTACAAAAATATAAAGATTGTTTTTGATTAATCCTCGACTCGCGAATATAATACAGTACGATGATATTGCAAATTTGAATTGAATTTTGAAGTATCAATTGAATACCAAACACGTTATCATAATCTAATTAAATGTTTAATCCAAACTCCAAAACGGCGTAATAAACGACACAGACGGTAACAGACAAATTAACATACAAATTTTGTCTACAAAATGTTAATTAATTGGATCAGAGACCCTATATAATATGTAACAATTAAATATTTGGTAAACGAAATTCATATTATTTTACTAATTAAATTAATTATGGATTAAACTAATGCACCCCCAAAAGATACCTTTCAAATAGAATATACAGTTGTTTATTAGACCAACTACGACTGATTATTTGATCAATCTTTCACAATAATTATATTTAAAATGTGTGTCTTTTTCTAAGCCCTTAATTATCCTTAATTAATGAATTACTATATAGTATTGGATAATTTTTGCGAAATACTTAAAAAATATATAGAATTTTTCAGCGTCGCTTAAGTGTGAAACTTATACATTTGATGAAGACTAGTCATAATGATTACCGAATAAATATAAAAATAAATAAATTAAATTATTAGAAGTAGAATTGCTTTAGAACAAAGCAATGAGTACTTTTGATTAAGGTCACTTTCCTAGTAGTTAAAAATCATAATGTAAGTGCTTTTTGCAAAATTATGGGGCAGTGGTGGGGGTGAGGTGGAGGTCGATCGAAACTGTATTGATGAGAGGTGAATTCATATTATATAATATTTGTAGTTTATTGATCATACGTGGTTCTAAATATGAAGATATAGTGATTGAAAATTATGATAGAAGGTTAATAGATTGTAGATAGTTTTGTTCAGTTTTATTATCAGTGTTATTATTTTTATTCTCATGCTATTTTATTAATCGATTTTAATACTTTATGTTGTTTCCTTTGCTCCAGTTATCGTATAACTATTATTGTACATGTTCTCTTTTTCATTGGTTTCAGCATGACTCATTTACTATTATATTTGTTTTTCATACTCGAGTCAAATATCTATCGAAAATAATTTTTCTATCTTCATTCTCCCAGTACAAACCCCACTTATAAGATTACATTATTGTTGTTGTTGTAATTATTTAAGTGTTCTTTTATCTTTAGTATATAAATTGTGATATTTAATTCTTTTATGAGTTGTTTTTAACTATGTAGATTATATTTCAAAAATCAAGTAATATTTTTTATATTTGAACGAATCATACTTAAATTTAATGCACGGACCCAACATTCGAACTTATTGTCCTTATATTTTAGACAAAGTGTAATAATTAA